ATATTATTGATAATATTTGGTTCAATTTAAATGATAATACCAGATAAGAAGGCTATCATTTAAAAAATATGAATGTATGTTATGAATAATCTAAGGTTAGAGTAAAGCATTACATTTGGTACAATTAGACCGATAATTTAAGATATGAGTGTTAACATTTTAAAACAGTTCAAAGAATTAAGGGTATTATTATGGTGCAGCACGGAATAATAGAACGCTTTAGGCAGACCTCACACTAGGGAGGCCGGCCTTAAGATGCATACAGGTGCGAATTTCTATACTTTTACGTTAGGATGCGCAGAAGTGATGTGCGCATGCTAATGCAAAAGTATGGGAATCTGCCTCTTGTATATCATCTCAGCTTATCTCCTCAGTTTGTGGCCAGCCTAAGAGCAAAAACAATGTAGTTAACAACGAAAACTAGATTTTAAATTATCAGAATCTGCTAACTACATCATCAGTGCTCTAATGTTTTGCTGTTTTTTATTTTATATATTAATTTAGTACATCTATTAATCTTTTTATAAAAAAAAGGTATCAACATACAAGTTAAAAGCAAAAAGCCAAATGTTGAAATAAGTTTTTTTAAACAGTAAAAGCTGATCACTTTTGACCTCTAAAAAAGTTACTTAGCAATCTACCGATATTTTCAACGAAAGCAAAACAAAAATATTTCAAAAAATGAACTATGCATTTAACGGGCATTTTCTCTCATCCATGAGTGTGTAACATTTATTAGATGTGTGTTTCTCATTTCATAAGTTTCATTCTAGGAAAAAAGTGATAATATTAGCTAAAAAAGTACCAACAAGAGAATTAAAAAAGGAAAGTAGTAACTCAAAGCTTATTTTCAATTGTCTCATGTATAAGGTTGATTTGTAATAGTGTTTCAATCTAACATCCATTTGTATGCATAGAAAGCTACAAAAGAAACTTAAGTTCTTTTGTAGCTTTCTATGCATACAAATGGATGCATAGAAAGCTATGTGTGCATTATATGTTAAGTAAAACATAAAAAATTTGACGTTTTGAAGAGCATTTTACTTTTTCTGGTGCAAAACTGTTAAATTTATGCCAATAATTTATTTAGTTCTTAGTATATTCTAATTAAATATGACAATAAATGTTTATGACAAGTTATACTTTTTCAACTTCAGTTAGGAGGAATTTTTCTTCATTTTTTTATAATTGAAATCAATTATTTTATTTATTATATTTTTGTAATATCAAACTTTCACGTTTTTCGTAATCATAAACATAAACGAAAAATTATTATCTCAATTAAAATATTTTTTTTATCAAGTGTATGTAAGTACATTTCATACATAGAGTAGAAGTTATTTATGTAAAACCATCTACCAATATTATCATTTAAACCTTTCAAAGTAATATGATTGCGTATATTATATGATGCTTTGCGCAATAAACAATGCGAAGAATATAAATAAGTATGCATTATCTGTATACATTAACTGTGATCAAATCATATTGATATAAAAGCTATCTACAAAATATACAACTTAAAATATTCCAATGTTAAATTAATATAATTATAATTTACAATTTATAAAATAAAATATATAAATTAAACCATATAAAATAAATTTCACTAAATTAAATTAATATAAAATAAACAATATAAATTGAGTTAATATAAAATAAACCGTAAGAATTAAATTAATATAAATATACATGATTAAATTTTTATCTAATTAATTGAAACAAAAGTAATATTTTTAATTTTAGTAAAAAAATATAATTTGAAAGTAATTAAAATTAAAAATGCTACTTATCTATATTCCTAGTTTATGAAACGAACTAATTTATTGTTTATTAAAAACGAAAGCACGAGTTAAAATATGATACTAATATATCTTTTTTATTCTATTTCATGTAACTATTGAACGAAAACTATGAAAATTAGTTTAACCACTTTTTTTCAATTGATAACCTTTCCTATCACCCCTTTAAAAAGTAAAAATTTTACTTACAAAATCATACAAATAAAAACGAAGTCTTTTTGGTAAAGCCATATTTCGAAAAACTCTTTGCTACTTGGAAGATTATTCTTGATGAAACGAAATTCTTCACAAAAAATTATTTATTATTTAATCTACAGCCTACAATTTTCACACTTTTATGTGTTTTACTCAAATAAAATTATAACGTAAAATAAAAGTTTACTTTATTCATTATTTTCATATTTTTTTACTCTATTTTAATAATCGTGTCTTTTTTCATAAAACTACTTAACTAATTTTTTTTATTTCGTATATATTAACTCAAAAGTTATCGATGTTTATATTTAGCAATTTTAAATCTGCAATTTCCATAACATTTTCTTTATTAGCATAATCTATTTATCCACTGTTATTAAATATTGTGTGCTTTTTTATTTCAGCTGCTATTTTCCTTAATTATAAATTTTCTGTTATAAATGCAGTAAATCATTATCATTTAAGAATTATATTTTTAAGGATTATTTATTTTGTCATACTCTTCTTTTATTATTTATGAAGGTAGACAATTGTACAAAAATACTATTTTCATTTTTTGTATCAAAAATATAAAAACAAAAGTGTATGTTGTTTCGATACATAATTTTTAATGTATTACTTTCAAATGAATATTTGTTCCATTGATGTATGTATAACTAAGAGTAAAGCCAATTGTATTAATAATAATTAAGTTAATGATTTTAGTTTTAAATTAGTATTTTTTTACTTATATTTTCATATTAGGTATTTTGTTGTTATATGCAATTTTGTTCTCAAATGGTTGAAACAGTTGTTTAAAGTTATTTTAATCCAAAGCTATGGGGATTCAAGCACAAATATTTTTTTTCTGTCATAACTTCTATAAAAATAATTTATTTAAGAAACGATAAAATAAGGATTTATAACACGATTTTTATTTAAAAAAGCGATTAAAGCTTTTAACTTAGTTATTTCTATGCACAATTTTAAAAAAAATATCTTTATCCATTATTCAAAATATATTATTTTTGAAAAAGATAATAATTTGGTCTAGAACAAATTATTCCTGCATATATTTTAATTAATTACACAATTCCATAGCTTTAACTTTTTGTAAGCAAACGTGATATAAAACAAAATTAATCTTTCATTCGCGTTTAACTCAGAAAAATAAATAATATTGACTTACAGCTTTGGAATTAATTTTGAAAAAAATTAACTGATTCTGATCAGTTATTCAGTTACTGCAATTATAAAATTGTTGGAAACTTGTATTGAAACTCCGAATTATATCCATTAAAAATCAAAATATATTTGCATTTTATTACATTAAAGTCTATCTTGACAAATTTTAGCTTATATATCATATTTCCCTTTTTTCTCTATATTCTGAAAGTAATAATCAAAATAATGTTTAAAAAAACGTAGTACTAAACTAAATATTCTACCTAACTGCATTAATTCGAAACACGCTCTAATTAGCAAAAGTAATTAATACTAATTTAGCTGCGCTCATCATCTTGAATTAAATTAACACTTTGAAGTCGTATATTTTTATTTTATTTTTGCTTCCCTATTTTTCATGTATTTTTCCTCGACTGCAATTTTTTTTTCTTCATATTCCTTTTTTTTTTCTTTTTCATTTAAACATTTTTTTTCGTCTCACATCTATCACTTCTTTTTTCCTCTTTTTTTACGTATTTTAATCAGTGAAAACGAAAAATATAGTGCAAAACAACTAAGTGAAGGTTTAGTTCAGAAACTGAGTTTTTTGTATATAAAAAAATTAACTAATAAAAAATAGTTCTTCGCTTTTAGTTAAAATGTAAGCAAAAAATTTGGGTTGAAACTCCAATATCACAATATAATCTCGACAAATTAATCAAGTAAATAACGTATTTTTCTTCGTATAAAAAAAGTATAAGGTCTACTTTAATTTTTTTACTAATTGGGATATATATGATAGAATATAGATAATATTGTCCAATAAAGAGAAACGGAAATAAGGAATAAATCATAAATGTGTAGATTTATTTCAATGCTGAATAGATGAAGTTTCCTTTCTCTGAAAGTAAAACAAAAAAAAGTATATTAACACTCTTTGCACTATTCGAAATTTCGTAATTTGGGCTTTCAAAATTTATGTTATTTGACTGACCAAATTTATAACAGCAATTCGTTTATCTTGAAAAAAGAATTTATTAAATTCTTACGTTATTTTATTTTATAACCGGCATTGAATAGCCGATTCCAATATGAGTTTAAGACTTTCAATATTCAACTCTGTAGCCTTGTAATTTTGAACCCAATCCAGAAGACAAGGGAACTCCTGGATCAAGTATTAGGTTCAGTTTGCCTTAGTGGAAGACTTTTTTTTAACCCGCATGGAGAGAAAAACCACAAAAGCCTTCCACGATTTGCCTGAGGGCAAGAGAACTCTAACCCATGATCCATCCTTCACTGAGGATATTTCATGTCAGCACTTCGGTTGGTGCAAGCCAGGTGCAAAAGTCGTATCGACTGACCATCGCTGGAATTCGAACACGAGCAACCTCATTGAGAGGCAAGCACTCTGTCCCCTGAGCCACCAAAGAATTTTCATTTATCTTAATTAAAAATTTAATATTCAGTCCAATTTTAAGTCTAAATATGAATTTTTTAATTGGTACTTATGAGTTTCAATGTTTCTAAAATAGCCTTGCAATATATATCCTATATTATGTTTTCTGGACGTTATGAAACGAGAAAAAATTTTGTATCTTCATAACATATCATTAAAAGTTTGGTTTCCACAATATTTAAATGATATTTTCTGATTAAAAGAATATTTTTTTTCATTAATTAGTAATTTACGGTTTATAGTATCTCTGTTAAAGTCTCTGAAAAGAGTATTACCATTAAATATTACTGCAATTGGCTTTTCTCTTACTTGAAGTGTTTGAAATATTATAAACTACCCACTGTTACCACTGAGGTAAACACTCAAATAGATCTGTTCTCATCATTGCTGATGTGCTCTTACAGGGGACTACTCTCAGCGAGAATACGTCAAATTCCTGACCAGTAAGTAATCACGGTGATCACAATGTTAAATTTCCATTGATTTTGCTCCGGGAGAACGAGTATTTGTCCCAAGTAAACAACCGATACCTGTTATTCCAACCGAATAACGTTAGGACAAATATTGGGAGAACCTGCTACCTTGAATCTATTACCTAGAACGTAACGTTTTAATCCCGACTGGATTTGGTATTATACCGAATTGATTGCGTTGATTAAAACGGGATTGGCGACCTAGTTTGGGCGGAGGTTTTAATTTCGAGAACGTGGAAGGTTTCGTAATTATACTTCTTGAATCCACTTACTTGCTGCCGAATAAATCTTTCGGTATTCTTTGGTTTTCTGTAACAATACATTGTTCTAGGTGCCGACGCAGTTAATTGCTTTTCGGTGAGATGGAAAAGTTGAAAGTTCTAACTCATTTAATAGAGATTTTATAGGTTTTTGAATGTTAAACATTTATCTATAGATTAAAGTTGACACGTTAACTGCTTATAACTCAAAAAGTAGATAGTGGCTTTAACTAAACTAAACACGCGTTGCTCAATATGTGAAATGGTGAATGTGAATTGTGATATAGACACTGTGTTGAAGAGATAGCTGTGTAATTAGTTTGACAATTGGATTGGTGGATGAACATCTTGCTGTGATGGATGCGTGGGAATTAAGTTAATCCACTAAACAAATAACACATTTAATTAGATCAAAAATAAAATAAAGAAAAGTTACATCTTGCAGATTAATTTATTAGGCAGAGAAGTTATTAAAAAGAATAAGGTAGTAAAATTTGGCGAGCAAGCTAGAATGCTGATTTTGATTATTCGATCATGGTGTTGCCAGATCTGATTGTACAAATAACATGTTGCCAGTTCTGATCATAATATAGAAAAGTTAATTTAAAGTCCTGTACTGCCATCTGGCGACCAGATTCTATCGCCATCTGGTGAGATGTTGGTCCTCTACAGATAACTGGATAAGATATATTTGTGTGTGAAATAAGTCATTGAGTGAATTGTTGCTCCAATGCTATAGGACCACAGGCATTTATCAAATTAGACAGTCTATTAGTGATAGAAATCTGATGCTTTTAGTTATTTTTAGTAATTATTATGTACCATTTTTATTTTTCCAAGAGTTTTTTTTAATCTACATTTTAATTCTGTCTGCTTGCACGGAAAATAAAAATAGAGCTCCATGTTCAAAGCGTTATTTTTTGTGTATTTTAAAAAAGAATGAGATTACCAAACGTAGCTAAATTGAGCCAACTTAATTCGGTTTGATTCGAAACATTTTATGACTTTAAAGCCTTAATTATTTCATAATTTTTACTTATTGACCACACAATGTTACTATACCAAATTTCTAAAAACAATGCTTGATTATTTATCATCATAGATGGAGGATTTTTTATGTTAATGACTGAGGTATTAAATTTGTCAAACAAATAATTCCTATGAACAGCAATGAATCTGTTTACGAAATATGCCACATTCAAAATATTTAATAAACATTGGTGGATTAAAAACACATCTTTGCGCCTCAAAGCTGACAATAAAATGATGTGTCTTACCATTGACTTAATGATTTTGTGCCCGGATAAAAATGTGTTTAAAATGCCATCAAGTAAATTTTGTTAAAATGTAACTGAACATCGTACTTCATTTTTAAAAGTTCTTAATGACAGCGCTTTAACTGTTAAAAGAAGTTTTCAATGACCGCTTTTCAACTGTTAAAGAAAACCATAAACACCCTGATTCAACTGTTCTGGTAAGTCATTAACTGCCGTGCTTAAACTGTTAAACGAAGTTAGTTATTACCACGCTTGAACTATTAATCGAAGTTAGTTATTACCACGTTTGAACTGTTAAACGAAGTTAGTTATTAATACGCTTGAATAGTTAAACGAAGTTAGTTATTACCATGCTTGAACTGTTAAACGAAGTTAGTTATTACTACGCTTGAATTGTTAAACGAAGTTAGTTATTACCATGCTTGAACTGTTAAACAAAGTTAGTTATTACCATGCTTCAACTGTGAGACAAAGTCGTTAACTAAAGTTAAACAACTGTTCAAGGAAGTCATTAACAATCACACTTCAATTGTGAAAGCAAATTCGTTAACTACCTTGAATCTACTCTTCAAGGAAATCATTAACTGCCACGCTGCAACTGTTAAACGCAGTCTGTGATCACTACGCTTAACTGCGTAACGAACTCATTAACTACCATGAATCTACTGTTCAAAGAAGTTATTAACCATCCGCTGCAACTGTTAAACGCAGTCAGTAATCACCACGCTTCAATTATGAAACGAAATATTAATTACCATGAATTTACTGTTTAAGAAAGTCATTAACCGTCACCCTGCAACTGTTAAACGCAGTCAGTAGTAATCACCCCACTTCAACTGTTAAACGAAATCATAGCTACCGCGAATCAACTGTTCAAGGAACTCACTGACCACCGCTCTTCAACAGTTGAAAACATAAAACTTCGTGCTTCCACTAATAAATTATTTATGTCTCTTATAGTTTCCATAAAGCTTTACAAAATTCTGATGCTTCTGGAAAAAAAAAATTTTTTTAATTTTAGCTTTAAGGATTTTCATAAGTTTCAATACTCAGAAATCAATCGATTATAATTTTTTAATTTCTAAATTAATATGTGACATAATTCGTTTCGCAAATATGAAACCTTCGACTTTGAAAGAAAAAAAAAACATTTAATTAAACACAAGTACCGACTTTTCCACTTTTCACACACAGTTAAAGAGAATTAAATAAAGCGGACAATTAATTTTGCTTTCCCAAATAATTACAAGCACTCAAGTCGCGCTGCAAATAAACCGATTATTTCAACAACATGCTTAAGAATTATAATGCGAGCCTATATGTCAACAGTCAAAAGAGACATTTTATTTAACCTAAGCTCTTTTCCACCGAAATCGAAATAGCTCAAGTTAAATCTTTGCATTGCCAAGAAGTTTCAACTGTCTAAACATCATTTTGAGACAAATCAAATCTATTTTGAGAATTAATCATAACTGCAAACGCTTGATTCATTCTTGGAAATACAAACTTCTGGAGGTCGAGGGGGTGAAAAGGAAAAATGTAACTCTTTTCCATAATGCCGCCCTGGTTAAATATTCAAAGAGAAAATCACCTCTCAGAAAATTCTCTTATTTAATATTATTTAATCTATTAATAGACTGAAAATTGAAATAAATTTAATTATTTGTTTATCTCTAAGTTGGTTTGTTTTAGTCTTTTTAAACGATTGGAAAGTTTACAGAAGAGTCGTTTCAATTCATTTTATGAAATATTTTCAGTTAAGTACTCATTTATTAATTTAATTCAAGTTTCTTTTCTGTTAATTCAGTATCTGTTAAAGTTTCTGTATCTGTTAAATGTAACCAATTTAGTTTCATTACTATTTTTATTTTTTATCATTAATGCAGTTTGATTCTATTTTTCTGACGCTATAAATTTCTGTTTGGGTTTAAAAAAATTTCAATTATCCAGTTTAAATATGAATTCAGAACACTATAATTTTTTCTCTTGGAGTACACAATTTTCATCTGATAGAATTAAAACCTTTTTTTTGACATCAAAGCTTTTTAAACAGTACAGATTATCATAAAAAAAATTCAGTAACACGGGACAAAAAATTACATGCTTTTAAAAATATTTCTAAAAATCATTCATTTTAATTAACTTTTGCTTTGAATTAATTTTTAAAATCTATTGAAAGTCATAAAAAGTGTAAATATACTTCCAAATATGATATGTAATAAAATGGTTAAAATTTCAAAGTTCATTTTTTAGAAAGAAAAAAACGCACTTGTGAAAATAAAGCAAGTTAAAAGTNTTTTGTCTTCGGCAGACGATTCTTCCATTATTCGTCCGAAATTAATATTTTGCATTCAGCAGTATTGGCTAAATACCAAATATTTGTATGTTGCATCTCTAATTTAGAAGCAGCAATTGTTGTTTATTTTTAAAAATTTAAGTTTTTTAATTATGATTTTACAGTGTTGAGCATAATCTTGTATGTCTTTACAATTTAAAAACTCCTTGAAAAAGTTTTTTTTTTTGCAATAACGGACCCTATTTTCCCAAATTCATAAAAGCGGACCCTGGTTGAAAGAATGTGAGTAATTTTTTCACAATTTCAGGAAAAACGGACCTTTCACAAAATGTCTGGACAGACCCCTGGTAATAAAATGGTTAAAATTTCAAAGTTCATTTTTTAGGAAGAAAAAAAACGCGCTTGTGAAAATAAAGCAAGTTAAAAGTCTTGATGTGCATATTAAAATCATCAACTATTAGATTTTGTGAAATACTGATATTGCTTTGTCAGAAGAAAAGGGTTATTTTATATTGATAAACTTTAAAAAAAAATTATAATATTGAAAAATTTTATTATAAAGAAATTATTTAATCCATGATTCATAGTTTTAATTTCATCATTCAGAAACGAATTTGCTTATAGTATTAAAATCTAAAAAGTTCTAATGTTCCGATTTTTCATGAACTTTTTTTCATAAAATTTAACGCTTCTAGGTTACCACTGAAACTTAATTCACTAAGCATATAGCGTGTTAGCTATAAAACTGTTTATAGCAATTTCCGTATTACTCATTTATAACACAAATTAAAGCTTATCTTTATCGTTGACACATTAAACAGTTCTTGGCTAATTGAACAATAAAATCATGATTAAAAAACGCGATTGTTTGTAGAGCTTAGTAGTGATTTTAAAACTTCTAATCACTTTTAGTATATTTTTAAATTTATTAATTTTAATTTTAATTATTATAGCGTGACTTTTCTGTGCAAAATTTTTTACATTTTTGAAAAGGAAAATTGAAGTTTATTTAGATGTTTTTTACTGTGTTAGGTATTTTTTGTAACAAAATCTTGCATGCAGTCTTACACATTATTTTCTTACACTTTTTATACCAAAAAAAAACGCGAAAGATGTATTATTCCTTATTTTTTACTG